TAGTGACCCTTCCACAGGAAAAACAACATAGAATGCAACAGTTATAATGGCCATGAATTTATGTTTTTCATTGAACATGTATTTTATTGGGGGGGGGGAGACAGCATTATATTGTAGATGTCTGACGCACTGTTTCCTCATGCATATGCTGTAAGTTGTTCATTCTTTCTTTCCTCCATTTTTGTTTAAACAGATTCCTGCTCCTCTCAAGGTAGATCATAAACTGTGCATTATCATTTTATTTTCCACTTACAGCCTATTGATTCAGCCAAGGCCTTTGCTAGAGAAACACGCTTCATAATGAGATAGTAGATTCTAGCTTTGTGCTCAGTGGATAATTAGTAGTGCTATGTCAGCAATAGTTTAAATTGTCAATGCATCTTTTCTCTTCAAGTTGTAAAACATGGGTTTTAAGTCAACTTGCTCTCTGCTGGGTATGTTTCTGGAAGTTCCCAAGTACTGTTTGCATTTACTTCCTGGGCATATAGCGATCCTCAGGTCCACACTGAGAAAGAGAGCTCCTCTGAATATCAGAATGGGTCTATCTATGCCAGCAACTTTTCTCAGCTCCACATTTTGCAAATTAGCTGGCTCTGCTTTGTGATTGGCTATCAAGAGGTAAACAGGGGCTTAATATGCAGGTCTGTTTGTTTAGGCATGCCATTTTGCTTTATTGGAAGGCTAATATGCTATCAGCTTCTAAATAAGAGCTCAGCAATACACCTGGAGATGCCAAAAATCAAACTTGAGAACTTTTCACTTACAGAGTAACTCATTTAATAAATAGTAAGCCACAGCCCTACTCCAACTAGGCTGCAGTCTTATACTTGCTCACCAAACCTAATTCTGAGTAGACATCTGAAGAATTACACTGGCAATCAAAACAGAGCTAGCTTCCTAAATTTGTTCTTCACACCAAAATAGGCCAGATTTTCAGCACTGATGAACTTTTGTGAAATTGTACAATGTAAATGTCAATGATTCTTTGACCTCCACTTGTATAACTCCATGATGCAAGCTGGTGGGAGCTGAGGGCAAAGGGAAACCACAGCTACAAAAACATCTGTAGCACAAAGAGTTTCTATCGTCTAGGACTTGGCGCTTTCAAAAGTTCCACAGCATCTTGGAGCGACATATTGATCCAGAGCAGGGTGCCGGAAAACTGAAAACAAGGTGTTTGTTGTGAATATTTGTGACAATCAGTTTCTCATGATACATCTGAGTGCCAGTAAGTGTTAAGTACAAGAGTTCCACAAAGTGCCCATGTGGAACTTATACCATAAAATTGTTCAAAAAGCAAATCAATATATGGTAGTTGTCAGTGTGAGGAAACTTAGGAAGTGGGAATACAGAACATGAAATTTAGTTACTGGAATCTTCAATGCTGGAAAATATACTGTATGAGATGTAGAGATTAGATTAGGCATCCTTCAGTCTCGAGACATTGTGGTAACATGCTCTGTATGGAGGACTTGGGACAGCGTCTAGTGTGGCTGAGAAGGCCAGTTTGAGAGTGACAATCCCTTCCACTCTGAAGACAAATACAATCTGTCCCCTGTCCACCTCCCTGATTTGGCTGCTTTCAGGACTGCCTCTTTGCCTCGGCCTGCTGGATGAGTGTCTCTTTGAATTGGGAAAGGCCATGATGCACCGCCTGCCTCCAGGCTGAAGGCTTAGATGTCAGGGTTTCCCATCTGTCGAGGTCCATTCCTAAGGCCTTCAGATCCCGCTTGCAGATATCCTTGTATCGCAGCTGTGGTCTCCCTCTGGGGCGATTTCTCTGCACTAATTCTCCATACAGGAGATCTTTTTGAATCTGACCATCAGCCATTCTCACAACATGCCCAAACCAACTGTATGAGTTAATTATAAATTACACTTCATTGCTCTATTTTACCGAGCTGGATGTTTTTGCCTTGATTTATTGCTGGTTTATTAGCTCTGCAATTCAATATTAAAAGCAACCCAGAGATGGTCCTTCCCAACTCCCCAGGTATTTAGGTATTTTTAACAAAATATTTTTTCAATCCAGAATGCTCACGGAGGCAATCTTCCTTCCCAAGGAGGCACTAATTTTCATACTAACAGTTCACACGCTCCTCAGGTGGCCACAGACACCTTAAATCTGGCCACCACTCCTTAGTGCCACTTAAGGAAGTCATGAACATCAAAGGGCAACTACCCAAAAAATCTCAGCCAAGTATTTGGGGCACCCCCTTCCATTTTGCCCCAACCAGAGTCTCCTTCCCCAAAGCTGATGCCTTAGATTATGCTGGTATTTAGTGAGAGGGTTTTTCTATAGACACTTTGTTCCTATTGGTGACGTTTCACTTCATGTGATGTAGATGTGTTGTTGTCTGTTTGCAGTCTGCTTCAGTTCTTAGTTACCATTAAAAATGAGGAGAGTTTGTTTTAAACTAACAAAAAGATTTTTTTATATTGGGACTGCAAGTGAAAAGGATATGAATAAAGGTAAAGGTTCCCCTTGACATTCAGTCCAGTCGTGTCCAACTCTAGGGCACGGTGTTCATCCCCATCTCCAAGCCGTAGAACCAGCGTTTGTCAGTAGACAGTTTCCATGGTCATGTGACCAGCGCGACTAGACAGAACACGATTACCTTCCCACCCATGGTGGTACCTATTTATCTACTTGCATTTACATGCTTTCAAACTGCTAGGTCGGCAGGAGCTGGGACAAGCAATGGGAGCTCACACGGTCGCGTGGATTCGATCTTACGACTGCTGGTCTTCTGACCTTGTAGCACAGAGGCTTCTCAAAACAACAGTAAAATGAAAAAGAAATTCTGTAATTCAGATGAAAATAACTTACTGGACTATCTAACTCTGTGAACCCACTTGCAGTAGGCTCTCAAGACAGGCTTCATCTAATAAACTCTAGCACAAATTACGTCACCTGACTCTAAAACAGACCTCTTGCTCTCAGCTCTAATTTCCTCTGAACTGATAACACAGACCACACTCCTCCATTCTGCATTCCAATCACAGCAGCCAATCAAAATTCAAACGTTCACATTAGTACTCCACCCAGGCATATCCACTATGCTGACCTACAAAATTCTTCCCATACAAACCTGGCATTGTTGATTATAAATACATAAACACGTGGAGAATTAGAGGTTTAGAATCTTCACTGTCCTTACTGCTGGTGCTGGATTTTGGATCCATTGTACATATAAATATCATCCATATAAACTTCTGTGGAAGTCTATAGCATTTTCTTCAGATATTAATCTTCTGGCTACAGCATTTAGAGTTTGTGTCTCAATCCTATAAATGAGATGAACCACGATGGGCAGAAAAACCGTTTCCAACTGAGAAAAGGGGAAGTATTTCTCTACCACGGCTCTCCCAATGGCTTTAAAACATCTTGTGCATTCATTCACGGTTGCTCCTCACTTGCATCAACCATGTATTGCTGCTCCGATATTGCCATATTTTCCCCCTTTTCCTCCACCTTTGTTCGTTCTTTGTACCACAGGCAAATGATAGCTACCAGTGAAGATTGCACATATTGCTCTCAAAAGGCTTTCACCAGCAGTAAAATAAAATGTATATATGACAGAAATCTCTTCAGTTATAATGGCTACTCTTGAAAAAATCCAAGAGGAAAACTGGCAAAAGAAAATGTATTTAATGGTTCAGCTGTCCTGACATGCACTGTGTGTTTGCTGAGATGATTCTGTTCTGCCACTGACAGGGGCAATAAGTAACCAGGTCACTCTTTGGAAGGAGTGCCACTGGTTCCTGGGATTATATCCACATTAAAATAGCTTCCATCTTCCAAGATCCATAGCTGAATTGGGCTGAATCTAGGTCCATGCCAAAGACAAATAATCTATTTATTAACTAGGCCTGGAGCTAGTCAAAATTAAGTTGCTGAGTCAAGCAGAAGAAAGCTCCTTTGCGTCATTACTGTGTAGATATATATAATATGACAGAGAGGATGGACAATGTAACACACAAGGGGATTGCGTTCCTTCAAGTGCTAAACAAAGTCATTATCTAAGCCACCATATTGAATACTGAATGAAATGGAAGCCAGTGAATTTTGGGCTAGGTGGCAGATAATTAGAGACAACAAAAAAAAGGTGGGAAGAACCAAAGAAAATTCATAGGAGGCATTATTTCCATAGGAAAAAATATTTTATTTTATTTTTTTAAAAGAATGAATTCAGTCTGAAACAGAAGTGGAATGTGAATTTCATAGATTTTGTTTTCTGGAAAGGGCTAACTGCAATGCAGAACAAAAACAGATTTTAAAATCTATGACAGCCTAGTTTTAAAAAAAAGAGAAAAATTATTTATAACTCAAGCATAATACTGTGTTACTTACAAACTGGACAAAGGAATTCTTAAATAAATATTCATGGTACACAATTACAGCACAAATATGCAGCAATTTGGCAACCTTTTTTTATACCTTATCCTTTTTTTCCTGGATACTGTGCAAACGGGAATGAGACGGCCTTTAAACAAGCTGTAGCTAAATACATAGCAAAAGTCAGATTTTATACAAAACATCTTGCTTAGACTTTATAAAAAACCAATGTTGCTCTATATACATAATCTGGTTAAGAAAAGATGTTTATTCTCGTTTCCATGTGTATTTTCATTTTATATTTATTTAAAAATGTGAGTAAGGCTACTGTAACACCCCAAATCCATATACAGTAAATCTGAACGTATTTACAGCATCTTTATCATAGACATCATGGTGAAAATTTCAAAAAGTTAGGTGATCAAGGGGTAAACACAAGCAAGGCATTTACAGTAACTTTTCAAAGCTGAACCAAACACCAACTAAAGGAACAGTTGGCAAGATTGTCATTATTCTGCACAAGACACAACACAGATATGCGGGGGCCCTTCTTTTCTAATCCTCCCCCCTTGGTTACAAGTTGCTCTTCAGTGATTGATCCAATATCCTACGCCCAAGTTTAGTACATCATCAGCATGTAAGCGGCCGACTAAACATATTCTTGAGGGATTGGGGGGGGCAATAAAACAAAACAAAGCCCATTTATCCCCCCCATCCCCTAAAATAAAAAGCTTAATGACTTACAAGAAAAAACTTGCATGGATGGATTCACAGAGAAGAAGGCTTCAGGAAAGAACTACATCTACACTGTAGTTAGTTACCATGGTAACCTCCCACAGAACCTTGCTTCTTCTCCACTTTCCCCTCCCTTCCGTCTCTCCTTCTTCGACCAACATCATTTTCAGGTTCAGAAAATACAGAAAGTAATCATTTCTATGACAGTACATTTTTGCACGTGCTCAGTGGAGGTTTGAGACCCTTAAAACACGGTAGTTACATTTCTTTCCAGTCCAGAAAGTGAAGTGTTGCTATGGGAACAGGACTATGTGAAAAGACCTCTATTTTGCATAGCACATAAAAAAGTAGATTCATTTCCCCCCAGGGTACAGAGAGGTTGGAGGCAGGACAACAAACATGCTTCAAGCAGAAACTTTATACTGAAACTTTCCTATTTGTGACCAGCTCAAAGACTCCATCTCCTAAGGCAAGGGAAAGTGCGGGGGGGGGCGGGGCGGGGATGGGGGGACAAACAAACAAAAGCACAAAAGAGAACCCACATCAAGATATCCTTGAAATATATGATGCAGTCACACTGATTCCATGATTCTGGGGGTTGGATTTCCTACTCTACTAGTTACGCAAGATAGCTTAGAGGGCTCGGTTATTGTTTTTACATTTCCTCTCCATATTGTCCTTTTTGGGAATGAAACTATTCCCACTACCCAAGACATAATTGCCCAATTAATTTGTTCTAATGCTGGCAATTTTAAGATTAATTTAATTGCCACAGATGATTTTCACATCTTCTGGTATAGATTCTGTGCAATCTCAAATATTATAGATATATATTAGTAATCATAAGAAAATCTGCTACTTATATCCCTTGGGTTCTATACACCTATTATAAATAAGTCATACCTTACTTCCCCCTCTCTTGTGTCTAAATGTGTTGCATCTTTATGGGCTGTAAGCAGCTTACCACGTGTGCTTTAATTCTGAAAGAGAACACCCCAGTAACAGCAGTGGACGCTATGGGTCTATATCGCAAAGGCACTGCCAGAAACCAGTATGTCAAAAGGCTCGATTGGAGGAAAAAAAAGAGGAAAATCCTGAACAATTTTTAGAGATGTGAATGCTTTTATTTTTAGTGATGGAATTATAGCCCTCTTAACTGTTGAGCTTGTGATTTTTTTTTCCATGTCAGATGTTAAAAGTTTTCTTAAACACTTGTTTTCCCTGTGATTAGATAAAATGTAATACGTATAGCAGCTGAGTCTGCTTTAAAAACAAAAACAAACCAACAAAGACAGATGTCATCTGAAGCAGACAATGATTTTGCTATAGCTAGCTCAAAGCTGTATATCTTATTGCTGGTACAGTACCATAGCAGTCCTGCCCTAATATGTCACCAGAGGCCTTCTACTATCTCGTCTTCTGGGCACTGGGCATTTACTTACCCTACTTTGAAGGAGAGAACTATTTTCTCCTGCAAGTTGCTATTTGAGAATAACCTTGGTATCCTTCAAGAACAGGCCTCAAACAGCTGTTTGTGTTTGCTGTGTTTAAGTTGCCCCTTAGAACTCCAGATATCAAAGTGCTGTGCTACCTAAACTGTCTGGCTACGTCCAGTTGAAATTCCAGAGGCCTTAGTGCTCTATCAGCCCTTCTTCCCTCTCTCTTTCTCCATGTGCCACTTATCCCATGTCCTTTACACAACAGGCAAGCCAGCACTTGGCTAGAAGATTCCCTACTAAGAAAGCCCAGTTTCTCCCAAAGCATTATCCATTCAAGTGAAGCTACCTCAAAGAGTATGAAATGGATAAAAAACATTAAGCTTTCCAATAGCAATGCAGGATGTGGCATGAAAGAATTCTCAAGTGAAGGATGCCAGAATGCTACCCAGTTGAAGTAAAAACACAACAGGGACAGATTGAAAGCAAGAAAATGATCAAAAGTCTTACTTAAAAGCCAAGGTCTGTATGACAAATCCATAAGCACTACAAGAGAAGCATGTACACACAAAGTCACAGGGCTGCGTTTCAAACTTGGTGACTGAAGACTTCTTCCCAGAATGCTTAAAACCATTAGCACCCATGAGTTGCTACATCTTTTTTTGGATGTGCCTGAATGCCTGCAGCACATGGCTTAGAAGGTGATGAATGAACAGCGGGGTATCTTCTACGTAAATCCTTCCAGTTTCCAAGTAAATGCTTGTTCACCGAAACAGAGCAGTTTCTACAGGCTAGAGAAGCTGTCCATCTCAAAATGGCTCTCTGTAACAGGGTGGGATTTGGTGCTCCCTCCACTGCACCTGGTCCTGTAACCAGCACAGGGGCTCATCATCATAGCTCCCCCGTGTCATGAACAGCATCTGACAGGAGAGAGAGAGAGAGAGATAGACAGAGTTCCAGAAGGTACCACACTGAGTGTTCATCAGACCTTGTAATAAATGTTTGCTGGACTCTGAGGGGGCATCTCTTGAACTATGTACACTGGATGTCCATAGTCACCACTGACTTTTTCATAGTGAGGGCAAAAAACACTATCTGCAGTCCTCAGGGGAATGATAATGTCACTGGGTTCAGACCCATTGTTGTTCCCACTGCGCTTAGGAGTAGCTAACGTACTAAGAGACAGAGTTGTCGTGTGCTGTGGCGAATGCTTCCGATGTCTCCTTCGGTACTTCAACAACAGAACCACCAGAGTGATGATGATGATGATGAATATGATGGACCCTGAAGCTATCCCTGCGAATAAGGCCACCTCTGAACCAAGGATACTGGAATGTCCAGCTTTGTTCCCATCTGAGTTAGGACCTAGGCAGAGGATTAGAAGAGGGGCAAGGGTGGGGTGGAGAGAGAGAGAAAAGAGAGAGAGAGAGAAAGATCTAAGTTCAATATGGACATGGCCCCATTATCACTTTGCAGGAGTGAAAGACATTAACTGTCAAGTGAATTGTGGCACACCAATTACCTTGCAAGATAGCCCAACCATTCTGATTAAGCAAGAAGCTGTGTCTGCTCCCTTTACTTTCATGTTGCTCCCAAGCCACACTGTGTTCCTTCCATCTATCATCACCCATCAGCAGTAAGGACTGACCCTGACAAGGCAGCCTTTGATGCACACCACCTCTTAACAGATGTTAGCCAGCTCAAGACAGCTAATGGGGATGAAACAAGGAAGTGGAAATTCAAGGCTCTCTGTAGCCTTGCCACCCTCATGTTTTAAACGAATGTGATCAAAACACAAACACTGTTTGCCTAGATCTTTTGTGGATATGCCTTTTTGTTACAGATCAGAGGAAACTACAGCTGGGTGGGAGGTAAGGGGTGAAATTCAAGAGTAGGTATTCTATTTGTTGCTGTTGTTCTCAAAATTTTAAATTCCATATCCGGTTAAAAGGGAGAAAAAACTGATAGGCATCTGGTTGCATATTATTTCAGTTTATGCTGTACTCAATCCTACGAGCAACACTTGGCAAATTTCAGCTTTGACTGTAATTCCCAGAACTTCCCATGGCCATGCTGGCTGGAGGTTTCTATGAACTACAGTCAAAATTAGTTTTTTACAAATCCAGAAGCAAAACCAGCTGCTCACAGGTTTTCAGCACCACTGTTCTAGCACTGACATGAAAGGGCAGCTGATAATCTCACACAAGTGCTAGGACCCTATAGAAAGCCCAGTCTAGCAGCTGGGGTATCTTTTCATATCCTGGCCAACTCAGCAAGAACACAGGAGAAGATTGCACAAGTCTCCTGGGAGTGACATAGGGGTTGTCTTGCCCTTTTATGCAGTGCCCAGTGAAGCATCTTGGCCCGCTAGAGCAAAAGAGTCCAGCATTTCAAGGATGCTGCTGGCGAGAGCTGGTAGCAAGGGGGTCATGCTGGCAACAGAATTCCAATGTAGCTGCAGCTATGATGCAGCAAGAACAAGGATGCAGACCCATTTCGAGACTTCTAACTGGACATTGAGAAGACTGTGCATGCTGTTTCCTCAGAGTATAATTCTTAATGCATACTCAATAACTGCCAACTAAAAAATATATACAGTGGTGCCTCGCTTAAAGAGCGCCCCGCTGAGCGATTAAATCGCTTAACAAGGGGCTCTGGGCCATCGCTGGAGCATTCGCTCAGCGAAGGCCCCTATGGCGTTTTTTCGCTTTGCGATATTCGCTAAGCGATTCACTTAGCGAATATCGCATAATGAAGCGGGGGAGAACAGCTGATCGGTGGTTCCAAAATGGCCGCCGGAAGATCCGCGCTGCATTTTCACGCCCTGCCCTTGCTTACCGAGGGCGCAAAAATGGCGGCGCTATGGAGGAAGATCGCTTAACGGTGAGTTTTAAAGCCATAGGAACACATTGAACGAAGTTCAATGCGTTTCTATGGCTTTTTAATTTCTGCTTAGCGATGTTTCGCTATAGCGAAGGTTAATCCGGAACGGATTAACCTCGCTATGCGAGGCACCACTGTAATGCCCTAAAAACAAATAACGTGGCATTGAAACAACAGTGATCTGGTGATACCTAATATGGGTAAACAGTGGCATCTTCTCACTGTTCTTTTTCCCACTGACCTCCTCCTGTCTAGTTTTTTCTGGATCCAGTAAAATACAGGGAAAACCTCATGTTACAGTGGAGGGCCACAAGATTGTTAGGAGAAAATCAAGCCATCACAGCATGGTGACAGAGGAACAAGGGACCTTCCTGTCCTTATCTGTCGATGCTGGTAGGTGTGCAGTGGAGATATATGAATGCCAAAGCCAGTCTCATGCAGACCTATAATGATTGTTGGACTGGATGGTTGCCACCTCGCAGAAGGACCATCCATCCATACAGCAGACATTCCATGCTGCGACCATTACCTCTGAAATGTGAGACTTCTGAGATGGCCCCTCCCCTTCATCATCACAGTGTGGCAGACAGTGCTTTTGCCTCACAGAGGGGCAAGTTAAAAGCGCCTGAGAAATGCTATCACAAGACAACGGCTGCAATCCAGTTCTCAGTTAAGGATTCTTAAACCTCATGGAAATCAACTAAAGCAGGACTGGGATTAAGTGGTCATTGGTGAATTTTGAAAAAAGGCCAAAGATATTTTCTCAACATCGTTGCCATGGGGAGCATGGCAATCACAAAATATTCATTTACTAGAAGGAAAATGAACAAGGGTGTGAGAAAAGTAACTTAAGTGCACAGCAGAAGTGGGGTATGAGCCCCCAAACGCTAAACCACTATTGTGCATCCCACATCCATTCCACAGGAAACAAACTGATTAAGTATTGGGAGGGGGTTCTTAATTAGGATTAAGTATGCTTAACTATCTGCTGGACTGCAACCAATGATCATAAGGCAAACTTCTGCAATATAAGCTAGCTCTTGCAATTGGAAAACTAGATAGAGCAAAGCCTATTTCCAACAGATCAATAATATTCTTCTATGGAATTGTTAAGTTTCTGGGAAATGCAAATGAAGAGAGAGGGGCTTGCTTTTGCAGAAGTAATATTTTTTTTTACCTCCCCCACACTGCTGCTCACTTGTTTCCTCTCATTTATATGAATGCATGTTTATATTCATTCACAACCTCTTGATGTGCAGTCCTATGGTCCATGGGGGATGCTCCCAAGAACCATGGGATTGTCACAGACTTCCCTCTCTATGCTGATGGAGAGGGGAGCCTACGAAGGAGATGTTCCCCTTAGTGGGGCAGAAATGTCAGCTTCCCTGCAGCTATTAAGGACAAAAGGTTGCATTCCATGGAGGGGAAACATTTGAAGGGAAATCTATGAGTAAAAAGGAGAAAAGCCACCTTTCTACACTTTTCCTCTGGCTGGCATGGGTTCTGCAGCACTTAGGAAGTGACATATCCTTTGACACAGACTCCCTCCCCACTCCACTAGGCTACCACGGGATTGTTCTCTTTCTTCTTCTTTGACCTGTTTTTTTAACTGTTGGACCACATGCATGCGAAATAGCCTTTAACTTAACCTTATTAAAGATCTAGAATCTCTCCTGTTTACCTGCGTGATCCTTTACAAATGGACTTGTTGTAGAGCTTTTCCCGTTGGTACCAGCTTCCTGTTCCGGGCGTTTAGTTGGATCAGCATTATTTGGGGACCCACCAGAATTGGGAACTGAAAGAACACAAATGATTCACTACAAGCTAACAGTCACGTGCTTTATAAGCTGGTTATCAATTTTCATGCAGCGTGAATGGCTTTGAACAGAAGATCCTTTATGCAGGAGTACAAGGAGATATGAGAATATAATTTTCCTCTTAAAAAAAAAGAGAGACCCCATTATATAGTTATTTGAAAGAGTTAGATTGTGGAACTATCAGCAGAAAATGAAGGGGATTCCTGAAACCTTTGCAGATGACATTTCAGCATAGCCAAGCAAGCTGACTGACTATTACACCCACCTCTAATGAGAAGGCATCCTTCTTCCCCCACCCCCACACAATAGGTTATCTGTTATGTGAAACAAGGACAACGAACAAAAACGTCTTCTTTTAGTGAGCTTTTGTAACAAGCAAGCTATGGAAACATTAGCTCCCTCTCCTTTTCATTTGTTTTTGAATAATTTTGAGCGGGGAAACTGCACTGTAATATTTATAATACAAGAAAGAATAACCGGAGCACATGTTGTTCATTGGTGAGCTTCCCTTCCAAAGAAGAGCATGCCAATGGAGAGATCTTATTGCATTAACTCGCTTCCTACTGAATCTGTCAGTAGCTTAAGGTGCAGAAAATAGGCTTTGCCTTCAGAATCTAAAGGAAGGTGGACTAATAGATTCCACGCTTTCATGCTGTTCTACCTTATTTGCCAAAAGCAGAGGCACTCAACAGGGCTCAGGGATTGATCAAAGTTGCTTGGTGGGGAGTGGAGGGGGGAGAAAGAACACAGGTAGTCTTTACCTTGTCCAACTTTCATTAGGATCTTCATGGCTTTTGTCTGGCACACCCCTCCCTCCTGGTTATCCAAGCCTTCCAGTGATCCATTGGATGTTGCTGATTGAGAAGAAAAGAAAAGAAAACCACAGGTGAAATACTTCAGGAATACCAGCAGGTGCCATCTCAGAAGGATACCTGAAAATAGACATAATCTGTCCAAATTGCCTCCTGTTGTTCAGGTTTACCCAGAAAAGATTGTGAAATGCTGACATTTAGGAGAACAAATGCAAACACCCAAGCAAGCTGCGTTATACACCTTCTGCTGTAACAAATCAGGTTTCAAATGTATCCAGGCAGTTTTGTTTCATGAGCAGATTGGTTGTTTCACTATGAATGCCACTGGCAGAGACAGAATAAGTTCCTCACACCCATGCCTCCTCTTCCCTGAAAAAAAAAAAGAAGTTGGCTAGCAAGAAAAGTGAGAAAAGAAGTGAGAGCTGGACCATAAAGAAGGCTGACTGCTGAAGAATTGATGCTTTTGAACTGTGGTGCTGGAGGAGGCTCTTGAGAGTCCCCTGGACTGCAAAGAGAACAAACCTATCCATTCTGAAGAAAATCAACCCTGAGTGCTCACTGGAAGGACAGATCCTGAAGCTGAGGCTCCAATACTTTGGCCATCTCATGAGAAGAGAAGACTCCCTGGAAAAGACCCTGATGTTAGGAAAGTGTGAAGGCAGGAGGAGAAGGGGATGACAGAGGACAAGATGGTTGGACAGTGTCATTGCAGCTACCAACATGAATTTGACCCAACTCCGGGAGGCAGTGGAAGACAGGAGGGCCTGGCGTACTCTGGCCCACGGGGTCACGAAGAGTCGGACATGACTTAATGACTAAACAACAACAACAAGCAAGCAAGCAAGAAAACAAATATACAAACAGACAAATCCAGTTTATCCAGAGGTGGGTTGGGCTGGTTCAGTGGTTTTGCTTTTAATGACTAAACAACAACAAGCAAGAAAACAAATATACAAACAAACAAATCCAGTTTACCTAGAGGTGGGTTGGACTGGTTCAGTGGTTTTGCTGACTGATTTTATTGTGGACTGATTTTATTGTTTGGTGATATGTGTCTATGTCTTGTGCTCTGTGTTTTTCTATTGTTTGCATGCTTGTGCTGCGAACCTTCCAGACAGTGCTTTGCACTATGAAGCTGTATGTAAGTTGAAATGACAAACAAATAAATAAAAAGGAGGGAGCCCTGCCAGGCTCAGCTGACCAAGGAACTTGCTTCCTCTCTATTCCTGAACGTTTACTCTCCAAACCAAAGTTGGTTTTGGTTCACTGTAACAAAAATTGCTAGTACAATGCACACTACTTCAGATTAAACCAATGGAGGGGGCTGAACTATAAAAATATCTATGCTACAGTTCTCATTTAAGTCTTTAGTCAATCCTCTGTATGTTGCAGTATATCTCTATGCTAAATCCAGCCTTCCAGAAGCTGGTGCCCTCTGCATGTATCTGGCTACAATCCCCCATCACTCTTAGCCAGCATGCGTCCAATACAATTTGAAGTCAGCAGACTGGGAAAGTCTTTACCTTGCCCAACTTTCATTAGGATCATGGCTAGCTGAACCCCTCGGGCTTGGAACACAAACTCCACTTTTGGTTCTTCCTTCTCTTGAGCAGGGAAATTGGTCTGAGCAAAGTTTTCAGCAAACTGATACATACCCACACCAGTGTACAGACATCAAATAATGACAAACAGCAAACATCTGCCATGTTCTGATCACCAAAATCAATCTAATATCATATTGCATTTGTAATTTTTAGCTTCTCAACCATTGGACTTTCTGAGCGTGCCTACGTTAAGAGAAACAGTTTTCCATAGTTTTTCTATATTTATACACAACTTCTTTTTTTAAAAAAGTATTTGTCCTGTTCAGAGGAAACATCAATACTTGGCAAAAAAAAAAATCTCACTGCAGCAGTGGTTTCGAAGAGCAAATCTTAAAGGAAAATGCAGCAGTGGTTTGCCTACAAAAGCCACCTTAACAGAGTGTGACTGGGAATAGCTTCTGCATATGTTCGCCACCAACTGGAAGACAGGGGATAATCTGAAGGCCCCATGATGAGCTGGATGAAACTTTCAACCCACTAACTTAATCTATGGTATTTTGCATCAACGTGCTGTAAGGCTTCTGAAGCGACAAGTAATCTTTGTGCTGCATGGCTTTTGAAGCGACAAGTAATCTTTCACACACTTCACAGAAACTGTGGTGTTGACTGCCTTAATGAAAAACATAAAGACGACAACTCATATTGATAATTGATGATAGCCCTATTAAATTTGATGTCAACATGTTTAAATGCTTTCCCTCACTCTGGTGTCCTACTGTCTTTCAAGGCACATTTGCAACGACATCTGCCTGCATACTAAAATATTAAAAGAAAAAAAGACAGGGGGGGAGAAAGGACATGAAAGTACTTCCATTGAGTTCCCAGGGAGAAAAAGCAATTAAATGGCACTTCTGGCATAAAGAAGAATCCCCTTCTCGTCCAATTTAGGTAGGGCCCCATAAGTCTTTTCTGTCTTTAGTTCTCTTTAGTTATCCCACATCTTTCCTTGGGGAATTTTAAAAATATACCTTATATTCATTTCCCATTTCCTTCGTAGGCCTATGTTCCCTGTTTTACTATGTCTTCCCAACCCCATGTTGATATTTTTCTTTCTCTAATCTTCTCACTCACTGCAAAAACTATGAACTTTTTCCTTGCCTTTGATCTACTTCTTGCTTTTGTTCTATTTCTCCCTCCTTGTGGGTGTAACATAATTCCTCCCTACGTGAACTTCCTTTCTTTGCAGTTCCTTTCTTAGCATTTAACATTTCCCTTTCGCCCAGGTTTCTATCACTAACGTTGTTCCCCCCCCCTTACACAAAAACAGTCAGCAGAATTTTACCTCTTAAAAGTTTTCCAACTTCCAGTGCACATGTTCGAGTAATTTAGTGAAAAATAGATCCAACATGTACATCTGCACTGCCAGGCTCAGAAAATAATTGAGATGTATAGTTTTGTTTTGTTGATATCTTTTTTCCTCCCTCCCCAGAGAAAAGAAAATCAATACTATGAACCCATTTTGGACATAAATCAAATGCATCTTTTTGCTGTGTTCTTTATGACCTCTTTGTTTTTCCCCTTGTGTCTATACACTGGCTAGCAGTAAAGAGAAATAACAAAACTGAACTTCAGGGGAGTAGACAGCTAATAAAACAGTGACCATCCTGCTCTTCTTAGGGCTAAGTTTCCTTTAGTTACTCTTCTCTGATTAAAATGTAATAAGAGTCAGAGAGCAGTCAGTGTCATTCAGCTTTGCAGAAAAGATTCGCAGGCAACAGAGATACAGTGGAAACAATCCACAGCTTAACTTCCCATTATGACAGCAAACATAGCTGAAGAAGACACCTAAAACAAGCACAGCCAAGGAATCTGTGAAAGTTATTATAGCACTGCATTTCATAAGGATCCCAACTTGCCTTGCTGCCATAGAGTCTGTCCACACTGGCATATAATTATGATATATGGAACCCTGGTGGCACTCTTTGGCATGACAAAAAAAAAACACCGTGTCTGCTGGTGTTTCTACTTAGAATGATCCTTTCTTCTCCTTTAAGCTCTCTCACACGCCAAACTGGCACAGAGCTAGGGCATGCGATCTTTTCTGCCTTAATTCATTGAGATTTAAAATAGATGTTGCTTTAGCTTTCCCAGATGAGTACTTTTACCAAAATGATCCTTATGATATTTTAAGTGAGTTAAGTTAAGGGATGTTAGAGAAACCCCCTCCTCGATTTTCATCTAGTTTAATTTTTTATTATTTCCCTAACCAAAACAGTGACATTCTTAAACCAGGCCAAGTTGATGCATTTCCATTTTGATATGCCACTTGCTCTTTTAGCAAAACAACAACAACAACAACAACAACAACAATAATAATAATAATAATAATGAAAGTCACCCCAGCCTGTCTGTTTTCCTCATTCATGAGGAGATAAACTTTCAAATTCAAATGTATAGGATTTAGATTAACAGTATATTGGTGGTCTCCTGCGCTGGGCAGAGACTTAAATAAAGCCGCCTAGAGTGGTCGCTCGACTAGACAGGCGGAATAAAATTCCAATAAATAAATAAATAAAGAAAATTATTTCATGGTGCCACCTTATTGACATGGTCTGCACCATTAAAGAACAGTATGTTGTCAAATATTTTGTTAACTATATTTTTACCATCATGGAGGTGAAACATTTGTATTTCCTCCTTCCATCATCACCAGACACTGTGCGCTGTTTCATGGTCTGGGCAGCTGCTGAAAAACTGTGAGTAGCATTAAACCATCTCTCAGAACTTATGCTTCCCTCCCAGGCATGTACTTCAATAATTATATTAAATCTTTATAATGTATTATTTCAGTCTTAGAGCACTACAACGCTGGAGGAATTCAAGAGAAAACTGGACAACCATCTGTCAGATCTACTTTGATTTGAATTCATACGCTGAGCAGGGGGGTTGGACTCAATGGCCTTATAGTCCCGTCCCAACTTAATTATTGTACGATTCTATGATTATCATGGAATGTTTAAAGCAGGGATGGATGTGGAGCAAACTTCAGTCTTCTCAGTCTTGATAGTTTTGCTGATCTACTGCAAATTACACAGAGAGCTACCAACAGATCAACCTGTCTTCAGCCATCTCTGGACTAAGGGACACATCTGTCAGGATGTCAGACAAAGATTTTATTATCCCTCCCATACAGAACAGAATAGATAAAGGAGTCTCTTGACTACCAAGACACAAATAAGTCCACTTTCCCCATACAGTGACTAATAATGACACTATCCACACACAACTCTCCATCAGCATAAAGGAAATAGCAGTTCTACCATAGGTTAGTCAGTCGGTCTGTCTGTCTGTCTCTCTGTCTATCTGTCTGTCTGTCTGTTTGTTTGTTTGTAGTGCACAGGCATTCTCTGTGTGGTGTACAAACAGTCTGGCTATCTTATAACAAACAAAAAAACAAAATCAGCAGTTATAAAGGGTCATCACATAGTAAAATGTTAG